TAGGATGGCTATTATTAAAAAGACAAAAGGTAACAACTGTCACTAAGGATGTGCAAAAAAGAAAGCGCTAATGCACTTTTGATGGGAATGTAAACTGGTGCAGCCAGTATGGAAAACAGTATGGAAAATTAAAAATAGAACTACCATATGATCCAGGAATCCCACTTCTGGATATACATCCAAAGGAAATGAAATCACTGTATTGAAGAAATATCTGCATTCCCACATTCACTGCATTATTCACAATAGCCAAGATATGAAAGCAATATAAGTGTCCATTGATAGATGAATGGATAAAGAAAATATGATATATATATATCCAAATTATATATTATATGTTTGTAATATATATCATATATATTTTACATTATATTTATACATATTTATTCAAACACAATAAAGAAGGAACTCCTGCATTCTGACAACATGGATGAACCTTAGGGACATTATCCTGTGTGAACTAAGTAATCAGACAAAAAAAAGACAAAAACTATATGATCTCACTTATATGTGGAATCATTTAGGAAACAAAACAAAACTCATACAGGAACAAAGTAGAATGGTGGTTGCTGGGGGCAGAAGGGTTGAGGAAAATGTGAGATATTGATAACACACTTCTAGTAATAAGATTAGTAAGTTCTGAGGATCTAGTACACAGCCTGCTGACTGCTGTATTATGTACTTGAAAGTTGCTAAGAGAATATCTTAAATATTTGCACCACACATTCTCTTTCACACAGACACACACTTGTAATTATGTGAATGATGGATGTGTTAACCTTACTGTGGTAATTATTTCACATATATACATATCAAATTGTCACATTATATACCCTAAACTTATACAGCATTTTATGTCAACTATTTCTCAAAAAGCTGAAAAAAAAGATAATTCCAGCTGCCTTATGTAATGCAGACTATAAGGAGGAAGGAAGAAGCATGAAATTTACTGGTATCTTGGATTTGGGAGATTATGGTGGAAGATATGAGAATTGTCCTAGGAGTATAGATTTAGAAAGTAAAATTGCTATTTCTTTCCCATGCTGAGATTCTCTTTTCAGGGGACAATTTGGAGGTTCTGTATTTTATTTTTGTAATGAATGTCATTCCCTTTCATAAGCTCATTTTAAATGTCATCCTTCTTATTTAATTTTAATACCAAAAGCATTTTGTATTGGGGTATAGACAATTAACAGGGCTTCCCTGGTGGCTCAGATGGTAAAGAATCTGCCTGCAATGTGGAAGACCTGGGTTCGATCCCTGGGTTGGAAGATCCCCTGGAGGAGGGCATGGCAACCCACTCCAGTATTCTTGCCTGGAGAATCCCCATGGACAGAGGAGCCTGGTGGGCTACAGTCCACGGGGTCGCAAAGAGATGGACACGACTGAGCGACTAAGCACATAGCCGGTTAGCAACGATGTGGCATTCCAGCAGAACAGCAAAGGGACTCAGCGTACGCACGCGTGTGTCCATTCTCCCAAATGCCATTTATAAATAATGGCAAACTTTTGAAATAACATAAAAGAAAGTTGGTTTCTTTTAAATGTCTAATATTCATATTGCTAAGAGAAGACAAATTTATTAATATATTTTATATAGGTCTTAATGAAGCCCTTTATCATTTGTTCCTATTAAAATTTCTGACTAGAATTCTGAAGCCCAAATAGTGAAGAAGATAGTCTTCAATAAATGGTGCTGCGAAAACTAGATATTTAAATGCAAAAGAATGAAATTAGATTCCTATCTTACTCTACTTATAGAATCTGTGTGTGTGTGTGTGTGTGTTCGGTCATGTCTAACTCTTTGTGGCCCCATGGACTGTAGCTCACCAGGTTCCTCTGCCCTTAGAATTTTCCAGGCAGGAATACTGGAGTAGGTTGCCATTTCCTACTCCAGGGGATCTTCCTGACCCAGGGATTGAGCCCACATCTCTTGTGTCTCCTGTATTGGCAGGCAGATTCTTTACCACTAGAGCCACTGTATAGAACCTACAATAGAAGACTTTCCTTTTGGACTCTGTTCCATTTTCTTCCCCCAGGCATACAATTACCCATGCTAGCTGCAATGATGTGAAAAATCACCACACAGTTTTTTACTGAGGAATGGGCTCTGATGGTCCAATCATTCCCAGAAGATGCCTGTATAATATAGAGCACACTGTCTCTCTGAGAATTGGTCTTCTAATACTGTAATTAAAATAAAGAGATTATCCTTCATATCCTTTTAGCATTGTAGATAATCCTGAGTTCTTTCCACTTCCAAAATTTTAAGATGGTTCCTCTTCTGATTTTCCTATGCCGTTGACACAATCCATTACTTATTTAGTTAATTACACAATGCTATATGTGTCAGCCATTTTTATGCTGATAATTTCCCAGTTTTATATCTCAAGTTCAGGATTCTCTCATGAGGTTGATTCTCATATAACAAATGGCTTCCTGAACATGTCTGGATGTTATATCAGTACTACAAATACTTTATGTCCAACATGACTGATTCATTAACTTTCCCCATCAACTCGCTCCTTTTTCTGTATACTCTCTTCATATTGTGAGCAATATGTGAGCATATATGAGCATATTGTGAGCATATAGAGAGCAATCATAGGTTGCTCTCTCTTTGATTGTCTTCTACTATACCATTCTAGCAAATAGCCATCTGCTTACTTGTCTACTTATCTGAGTCTATAAGACTCAGGTCAAGTTACCTTCTTATGCAAAATTTTTCTAAGCCCACTTCTTAGGCAAGAAGAATTTCTTACCGCCTGTGGTATCTTGAGTTATCAGATCACCTGCCTGGGTTTGTTCATCTGTTTATTTGTCTACATTTTGAACTCCTTGAGAGGAATTATAGATTCTTATTTCCTTGTGATTCTATGCTCAGCTTAGAATATATCATATTAGATTATTAACAAATATATCATGAATGAGTAAAAATGAAAATTCTCTGATCTGAAAATTACTCATGTCCCATATTCTCACACTAATAGCATCTCCAAGACAGGGAGAAGCCATTGGCTTTCTTGCTTATTTTGACTTGTTTACCAGTTTATGAAGACTCATATAAATGTTTAGCTTCATTTGTTTGCACCCATCCTTCCATGATATATCAGTGTTCTTTCCATGTACATTCTGTCTTGCAGAGTGCAGAGATTTTTCTTTTTCCTCTCTTCCTTGAGATTGAGATTAAAATAATGATGCCCAGCCAGTTTTTATTTTTATTTTTTATTTTTTTTTATTTTATTTTATTTTTTTTTTTTATTTATTTTATTTTTTTTTTACATGTATTCCCCATCCCGGTCCCCCCTCCCACCTCCCTCTCCACCCAATCCCTCCGGGTCTTCCCAGTGCACCAGGCCCGAGCACTTGTCTCATGCACCCAACCTGGGCTGGTGAACTGTTTCACCCTAGATAATATACATGTTTCGATGCTGTTCTCTTGAAACATCCCACCCTCACCTTCTCCCAGAGTCCACAAGTCTGTTCTATACATAGGAGTCTCTTTTTCTGTTTTGCACATAGGGTTATCGTTACCATCTTTCTAAATTCCACATATATGTGTTAGTATACTGTAATGGTCTTTATCTTTCTGGCTTACTTCGCTCTGTATAATGGGCTCCAGTTTCATCCATCTCATGCCAGTTTTTAATAGATGTTCATTCCTGAACCCCACATTTGCCTTAGTTCCTTCTGGAAAATAACTAAAGTTTCTTCTATGTAGACACTTATATATAAACCAATTTTATCATCAGCAGTTAGCAAATACACTTCCAGCTCTTCAAAATGTTAATGGAATTTAGACATGATTCTTAGCTCTCATTCAGTAAGCATACTTGGGTGAATAAGCTGTCAAATTTGAGTGGCTGAATTTTTCTCAGTGTCGTCTTAAAATACCTCCTACTCCCTGATCAGGCTAGAAGAAATTAACCAAAGTGATTTATTTTAGCAGTGTCAAGAAATCATGTGTGACTTGTGAAAATGATAGAGTCAGCTTTCCTTCCCATTATGTTTTTGAAACTTACAGGTACTGGAATAATTAACAGACAAATCAGAAAGAACTTTGCCTTATAAGAGAAGTTTCTTTCTCTGAGGTCACCATTCCTTTAAGGCTTTGAGTCTGCTCCTCACTTTCTTTCCTTGAGTGGGTAGTGCTTTGTCACTTCCACAGCTATTTCCTTCCTCCTGCCAGTCTTCCTGACATTTCTTGATAGAGTCAGGAATAGCATTTTGTCAGTTAATTTATCTTTAAAAGGTCACAGATTATCATAGACTAGCTTGACAGAAATGAACAGAATACAGAACATAGTTCAAACCAAGTAAACACTGACACTGATAATAATTATTATTAATCTTTATTAGGTTCTAGTTATAATTACATAATTAATGGAGTCAATCCTCAAAATGGCCCTGGAATTTAAGCATCCTACGTCAGCCTTTTACAGGGCTTCCCAAGAGGCTCAGTGGTAAAGAATCCATCTGCCAGTGCAGGAGATGTGGGTTTGATCCCTGGGTTGGGAAGGTCCCCTGGAGAAGGAAATGGCAGCCCACTCTAGTATTCCTGCCTGGAGAAGCCCCATGGACAGAGGAGCGTGGTGGATTACAGTCCGCAGGATCACAAAGAGTCAGACATGACTGAGCGTAGCACGGCATGTCACAATGTAAAAGCACATTCCTTTTGCAGAGAGGAAGAGAAGGATTAGAGAGGAGAGGCCACGTGGCCAATGGATGACTGAGTTAAAATTTGAACTCCTGTCCTCACATTTTTTTTCATTTCACAAGTGTTTATAAGAATATGTGAATGCAATTGTCCATGTCTTGAATGACAAGGGCTCTTGAGGAGAGGTGCTTAAGGCAGATGGTGATCTGCTCAGCAGGCGTGTAGCCTGAATTCCCGTTGTCACATAGTTGGAAGCAGATTCAGATGGCTGAGATGAAACTGTGCATGTAATGAGTTGAACAGGGGTTTGCCTGACTCGCATGAATGTTTCTTTGCCTTCTAGGAAGATTTCCAACCTGCAGCAGCCTCAGAGACCAACTGGGAGTCAGTCACAAGCTCTATCTCAGTAAGTAATTTATTCTTCTGTTGCCTGCAAAAACAACTGATGGAGTAGTAGCTAAGGTCAATCCTGGGATGACTTTAGCTGCATGAAGGATCTATGGCTTGATCCAAAGCCAGATCTCAAGCATGATGTGTTCTTCCACTTCTTTTAGGTTACAGTGGGCTATGTCAGATGCCCTTTTGCCTTCTCTTTCAGAAAGGTTTCCAGGAAATGTCAGTACCCATTGTAGGAACACAGGAGACAATGACTTAAATATTTATGAGTTTCAAAGCAGACATTCCAACTAAAGGACTATCCAACCATATAAAATATATGAAACAGGTCCAAGGCCCAAACTCAAGTGGGGAATTTTGAAATAGTTTTTTGAATATTCCAGGGGAAGCTGTTAACCTTTCCATTTTCAATGGTCTTTTCATATGTGAAAAAGCCCCAGTGTTAATTGCAAGATAAAAGTTAAGTGCAAGCCAGACTTGTGTTCTGTGTGTCTTAGAAATAAAACATAACTCACCCTGAAAGTTAAAATGGTTTGTGCTCCATTTGTGTTCCTCCAAATTTAGTCATTTCTCAGTATTCTATCTACTTATCTACTTTGTACAGAAAGAGCAGGTTTTGTTTTCACCAATCCTGTGTGTAGCACTTGTGTAGAAATAAACTAAAATATGATAAATGCAGTTGTTCATTATTAAGATTAAGAGCATGGAGAAAAGTTGGCTATGATTCTAAAGTATGTTAGTGTGGCTGAGTCAACGTTGATTCCCCCCCGCCCCCCCGAAGTGATAGTCTATCTTTTGTTCTTGGGGGGATTTTTTAAAATATCCTGAGATGCCAGGATTTCCTCATCTATGGATTCTGTGACTCCTTAATTCACCAAGTGTGGCTTCTGGACTAGAATATGATCTGATGGAGATCAGCGAGGTCTCTAATGGTGATTTTACAAAAACTTTGTTCATTTCTGACAGTTGGGAATGCATGCTCTGAAATTAACTGGGTATAGGCAATTATTGTCAGGTAGGAGAAAATTAAAATAATGCTGGGGTACTGGGGAGCTAAGAGGCTAGGCAGGAGGTATGGGCAGTTAGAGGCTGACTGACAATTTAAGGTACATGCCAGTGGCAGCTTTTTCCACCAGGACTGAGTGTTCTGTTCTGTCAGGAGATGCTCTGGCTTCCCAAGTATCTTGTGCATGGTAGCTCAGGGTTGTCTCATCATTCCTTGCCCCAAGGGCAGAAATTAATAAGCTTGAAGTCCCCTTCTAGCTCAGGATAGCCCAGGTCCTCTTAAAGAGAAGGATCATCCCGTCCATTTGGTGCATTTGTGCAAGCTCAGCCTTATGTCTGAATCCACTGGAAACTCTTCCAGATTGAGTTCTAAGTCCAGGTTCTGCTGAGTCCTCTTGGAAGATGAGGGAGACCTCACTTCTTTCCTCAGCATTCTGATTTTCAAGAACCTTCTGAAGCAGGAGCAAGAGCCCTTGGATCTCCCATTAACTTCTATGTAAACCATTCTTTGCTTCTGTTGAGACTGGTTTACAGTTTTCAGAGCATTTTTTTTTTTTACAAATTTTTATCATTTTAAAGTAATTCACTTAGCGTTTAGTTTGATTTTTATGAACGTATAACAAAATCTGAAGGAGATCCAATTTATAGAGCCATTGAAAGAAGCACAATCAACTAGTATTTCCCTCAAAAATAGTTTTGAAATAATTGCCTCAGAAACAAAAATGTTCTCCTTTGTTGAGTAGGTGACCTAGTCAGTCATAAGTATTTTCTTAACCATCATTAGTGTGTTAGTCACTCAGTCATGTCTGACTCTTTGTGACCCCATGGACTGTAGCCCACCAGGCTCCTCTGTCCATGGAATTCTCCAGGCAACAGTATTGGAGTGGGTAGCCATTCTCTTCTCCAGGGGATCTTCCCAACCCAGGGATCAAATTCAGGTCTCCTGCATTGCAGATTCTTTATCATCTTTATCACCAGAGAATCCCCAACCATCATTAGTATTTCAAGTCAAAACTTGAAAAGAGCAGCAAAATTCATACATAAAGTCACTTTTACATTGTACCTATAGTTTGTGTTTGCTCTTCAAACTAATATTAGAAGGGCTTAGATTCCCCCCTCATCTTCAAGGACTAAGAGCACCTCCACAGCTTTCTCTTGGAGAGACGTCTGAATACACACTATACCTTAGGTACTGTTAAGGCTAAGCCCAGGAAGCTCCTTGCCAGGAGTTCCCCAGAATCATTTAGGTAGCTTTGCTTTCGGTTGAATGGCTTGATTGATGTACCTGCTTTTGTCTCAAAAAAGAGGGGAAAATGTAATCTCAAAGCTTTCTCATGGTATCATGCACCTAACTTTGGCCAGTTAATTTTGATTTTGTGGATCTCAGACCACATTATTGTGATACAAAGCTAATTGTAAATCGTGTGGTCAGTAAGAGCCAAGTAGACTGTAGATCCAGACAATACAAAGTTGAGTGGGAATTTGGACTTGTATTGCTGAATCATAAATTTAGCTGCCTTAATCACAGTGTACCAAGAGGGTTGTGAAAGACAGAAGTAATGTGCCTCAATCAGGGTTCAGCTTCTATACGCCATGCACACACAAACACAAACACACTCCTAGATTAAAGAGCTGGGCTGGTACCTTCACCAATCTATCTCATGTCTCACACTTTACACTCCAAACCCCATCTGTCACTTACTCCCTTTCCATACAGGGTGTATTTGAATCACAATAAATTATACCAATAGTAGGTGTTTATGCTCTTATACAAACTCCTAAAAATATTGCATAGGAATATTGCATAGGACAATATTGCATAGCAACCTGGCATGTTAGGTCCATGAATCAAGGTAAACTGCAAGTAGTCAAGCAGGTGATGGCAAGAGTGAACATCAACATTTAGGAAGCAGTGAACTGGACTGGAATGGACTGGGACGGATGAATTTAACTCAGGTGACCATTATATCTACTACTATGGGCAAGAATCCCTTAGAAGAAATGAAGTAGCCCTCATCGTCAGCAAAAGAGTCTGAAATGCACTGCTTGGATGCAATCTCAGAAATGACAGAATGACCTCTGTTGGTTTCCAAAGTAAACCATTCAATATCACAGTAATCCAAGTCTGTGTCCCAACCAGTAATGCTGAAAAAACTGACATTGAAGACCTACAAGACCTTCTAGAACTAACACCCAAAAATAGATGTCCTTTTCATTATAGGGGACTGGGATGCAAATGTAGGTAGTCAAGAGATACCTGAAGTAACAGACAAATTTAGCCTTGGAGAACAGAATGAAGCAGGGCAAACGCTAATACAGCTTTGCCAAGAGAACTCACTGGTAATATCAAACACTCTTTCCAACAACACAAGAGAAGACTCTACACATGGACATTACCAGATGGTCATATTGAAATCAGATTGATTATATTCTTTGCAGCCAAAGATGGAGAAGCTCTATAGAGTCAGCAAAAACATGACCAAGAGCTGACTGTGGCTCAGATCATGAACTCCTTATTGCCAAACTCAGACTTAAATTGAAGAAAGTAGGGAAAACCACTAGGCCATTCAGGTATGGCCTAAATCAAATTCCTTATGATTATAAAGTGGAAGTGACAAACAGATTCAAGGGATTAGACCTGATAGACAGACTGTCTAAAGAACTATGGGCAGAGGTTTGTGACATTGTACAGGAGGCAGGGATCAAGACCATCCCCAAGAAAAAGAAATGCAAGAAGGCAACATGGTTGCCTGAGGAGTCCTTACAAATAGCTGAGAAAGGAAGAGAAGCTAAAGGCAAAGGAGAAAAGGAAAGATATACCCACCTGAATGCAGAGCTCCAAAGAAGAGCAAGGAGAGATAAGAAAGCCTTCCTCAGTGAACAATGCAAAGAAATAGAGGAAAACAATAGAATGGGAAAGACTGGAGATCTCTTCAAGAAAATTAGAGATACTAAGGGAATATTTCATTTAATGATGGGCACAATAAAGGACCAGAAATAGTGTGACCCTAACAGAATCAGAAGATATTAAGAAGAGGTGGCAAGATTACACAGAAGTTTACAAAGAAGATCTTCATGACCCAGATAATCTTGACGGTATGATCCCTCACCTAGAACCAGACATCCTGGAATGTGAAGTCAAGTGGGCCTTAGAAAGCATCACTATGAAAAGAGCTAGTGGAGGTGTGGAATTTAAGTTGAGCTATTTCAAATCCTGAAAGATGATGCTGTGAAAGTGCTGCACTCAGTATGCCAGCAAATTTGGAAAACTCAGCAGTGGCCACAGGATTAGGAAATGTCAGTTTTCATTCCAATCCCAAAGAAAGGCAATGCCAAAGAATGCTCAAACTACCACACAATTGAGCTCATCTCACATGCTAGCAAAGTAATGCTCAAAAGTCTCCAAGCCAGGCTTCAGCAATACATAAACTGAGAACTTACATATGTTCAAGATGAATTTAGAAAAGGCAGAGGAACCAGAGATCAAATTGCCAACATCCTCTGGATCATCGAAAAAGCAAGAGAGTTTCAAAACGACATCTACTTCTGCTTTATTGACTATGCTAAAGCCTTTGACTGTGTGGATCACAATAAACTGTGGAAAATTCTTAAAGAGATGGGAATGCTAGACCACCTTATCTGCCTACTGAGAAATCTGTGTGCCGGTCAGGAAGCAACAGTTAGAACTGGACATGGAACAACAGCCTGGTTTCAAATTGGGAAAGGAGTACATCAAGGCTGTATATTGTCACCCTGCTTATTTAACTTAGATGTAGAATACATCATGAGAAATGCTGTGCTGGATGAAGCAGAAGCTGGAATCAAGATTGCGGGGAGAAGTATCAATAACCTCAGATATGCAGATGACACCACCCTTATGGCAGAAAATGAAGAAGAACTAAAGAGCCTCTTGATGAAAGTGAAAGAGGAGAGTGAAAAAGTTGGCTTAAAGCTCATCATTCAGAAAACTAAGATCATGGCATCCTGTCCCATTCATGGCAAATAGATGGGTAAACAATGGAAACAGTGACAGATTTTGTTTTTTGGGGCTCCAAAATCACTGCGCATGGTGACTGCAGCCTTGAAATTAAAAGACACTTGCTCCTTGGAAGAAAAGCTATGACAAATCTAGACAGCATATTAAAAAGCAGAGACATTACTTTGTCAACAAATGTCCATCTAGTCAAGGCTATTGTTTTTCCAGTAGTCATGTATGGATGTGAGAGTTAGGCTATAAAGAAAGATCAGTGCTGAAGAATTGATTTTTTTGAACTGTGATGTTGGAGAAGACTCTTTAGAGTTTCTTGGACTGCAAGGAGATCCAACCAGTCCATCCTAAAATAGTCCTGAATAGTCATTGGAAGGACTGATGCTGAAGCTGAAATTCCAATAGTTTGGCCACCTGATGCGAAGAACTGACTGATTGGAAAAGACCCTGATTCTGGGAAAGATTGAAGGTGGGATGTGATGGGGACGACAGAGGATGAAATGGTTGGATGGCATCACCAACTCAATGGACATGAGTTTGAGTAAGATCCCAGAGTTGGTGATGGACAGGGAAGCCTGGCATGCTCCAGTCCATGGGGTTGCAAAGAGTCGGACATGACTGAGCGAATGAACTAAACTGAAAACCTCTTAATTTTGCTAAAAGCAGATAGTTCCCCCAAGAGTAAGTGTCTTTTGCTCTTGATTTGTTAAGAAGTAAAAGCATTCACCTGAAAGTCTGAAAATAATTGTGGGCCTTGCTGTCTGGGACTCTATAATGCACATGCATATTATTTCTCATTAGGAATGCAGCTAAGTTTCAGAAATCTAAGTTTCCATTAATTTTTATTTTCCTATAGAGATATGAGGCACTTGCCCATGGAGGATATTATTTGTTTAGCAATTTCTTTAAAGACATTTAGAAAACATTGGAGACTATGTGTTTTCCATTCCCTTGTTAATGGGTCATGAATTTTTACAGAGATGTCTGACTCATGGCTCATTTACCTCTAGTTTGTACAAGGGTTAGTGAAGTAAGTGCTTAGAAATTTATATGGGAATATATTCCATGGCAAAATGCATAATCCCTTCCAGAATTTCTATGATGTTATCCCACTTAAAGAGTATTCCTGAGAATGTTTTAATGGCAACAGGGATCCCTAGCAACTATAGCAGTTAAAATGCACACACACAATGCATATACACACACATACACACCCAAGTGAATCTTCCAGTCTTAAGTCAAGGTCAGCAGTTTCATGGCTTATTATTCTTGTTGACAATGAGTTGCTTAAAATACCAAATTTTATCAAGATGTTTCCAGAGTAAATTTCAACACTGCTCAGAGAACATCTATTGTGCTATGCGAGCTATAAAGAGGAGGCATTGAGGCTAAGCATGGGAAATGAAATGGATTACTCACGGTTTGCATGGAAGATAAAAGGAGTTCATAATTTACCTATTACCATTATTTGTTGATATGGATATGATGATTTGGGACTTTGAAGCAAGAAATTTAATGACTTATTTTGATATTTCCATTTATATGGTATCATTTTTAATAATTACCATTCAGATGAGCTGGGTATTTTATGATCTTCCTGTTTTTGATTTGCAATAAATCAAATGACTATGATTTACCAAGTAATTATTTAGGAATATGGCAAGACTATGGCATAGGGGCTTAGCATGGTATTTATATACGTGATGTCTTATAATTGGAAGTCTGTGTTCGTTCCATAAGGTTGTGTGACTTGTATTTCATAGCAATGCACTTTTTCTGAGTACACTGAGCTGTATGTCACTCTTAGGGGGTATCCTATCACTCTCCATCAGTAACGGACCCCACTCTCACTGCGGATGCTCTGGACAAAACGATTGCAGAATTTGATACTGTAGAAGAGCTGCTCAAGCACTTCAATCCAGAATCATGGCAAGAAGATCTTGAGAATCTGTATTTGGATACCCCTCATCATCGAGGCAGATCATATCATGACAGGAAGTCAAAAGGTAAGAAACAGATCGGTTCTTCATAAGCAGATACAAGTGCTAATAGTAACAAGTAAGAATTTGCAATGCAATACATTTAATACACTTAAATCAGATGAGTACTGTTAGCCCATTCTTATTTATCTTTTCACAGAACTTTCAAATGATATTCTGTGTTTTGCCCAAACTGTGTTGTTTGTATGGGACTAAGAAAGACTTGAGTCAGTCGAAGCTTAGAGCTAGAAAAGACCTTATAAAATCATCTGGATTGACTTTGTGCTTCTTGGCAAACAGGGCATTTTTAGTCCCACCATAAATAGTAAAGGCGACCAAAGTCAGGGGAGCTGGGTAACTCTCCAATGGTGCATGGCAATGGAGAAGAAAGGAGAATCCTGGTCTCTTGCCTCCAATGGCAGTGCGTGTATAACAGTCCACTGTGCCTCTCTGATGGATGTGAGTGTTGAATTAGCCCAGGACTCAGTCGGTGTTCGCAGGAGAGGCTCCTGGTAAAGCAGTGGTCAAATCTCTGGAAGATTCCAACTCTACTCATTCAGTGCCCATTCCAAAACATTTGATAAGGTCCTACCATAGGCTTGGCATCCTTGGTAGTTCATAGGATGTAAAGGTCCCAAGAAAGAAACAAAGATCTGGGATATTTTGCACAAGTGTGAGGGTACACATTCAGTTGGAAGGTTCAGAAAAACACAGTGAAGGGAGGAGAAAAGAATATTCAGGCAGAGTTAAAACATCAAGAGTTAAAACCATAATACTTAAACTCTTAAAAAATGGGATGCTGCATCTGGGTAATATGATTTCAGGATGTGAGTGTTTATTTGAATGTTTAACTCAAATTAATAGAGAAATAATTTGTAATTACCCTTATTGAATAAAAGTATAATTTCTAATCTGTTATGTTCTTGCTTCATTTGATAAGATTTGTTATTATGAACATTTTCTTTGGAAGTCTTATAAGGCTGACTTGCATCACAGATATAAAGATATTTAATACAGTACAGCCTGTTTCTTTTTTTTTTTTTTTCCATTTATTTTTATTAGTTGGAGGCTAATTACTTTACATCATTGCAGTGGGTTTTGTCATACATTGAAATGAATTAGCCATGGATTTACATGTATTCCCCATCCCGGTCCCCCCTCCCACCTCCCTCTCCGCCCTATCCCTCTGGGTCTTCCCAGTGAACCAGGCCCGAGCACTTGTCTCATGCACCCAACCTGGGCTGGTGATCTGTTTCACCCTAGATAATATACGTGTTTCGATGCTGTTCTCTTGAAACATCCCACCCTCGCCTTCTCCCAGAGTCCACAAGTCTGTTCTATACATAGGAGTCTCTTTTTCTGTTTTGCACATAGGGTTATCGTTACCATCTTTCTAAATTCCATATATATGTGTTAGTATACTGTAATGGTCTTTATCTTTCTGGCTTACTTCACTCTGTATAATGGGCTCCAGTTTCATCCATCTCATTAGAACTGATTCAAATGAATTCTTTTTAATGGCTGAGTAATATTCCATGGTGTATATGTACCACAGCTTCCTCATCCATTCGTCTGCTGATGGGCATCTAGGTTGCTTCCATGTCCTGGCTATTATAAACAGTGCTGCGATGAACATTGGGGTGCACGTGTCTCTTTCAGATCTGGTTTCCTCGGTGTGTATGCCCAGAAGTGGGATTGCTGGGTCATATGGCAGTTCTATTTCCAGCTTTTTAAGAAATCTCCACACTGTTTTCCATAGTGGCTGTACTAGTTTGCATTCCCACCAACAGTGTAAGAGGGTTCCCTTTTCTCCACACCCTCTCCAGCATTTATTGCTTGTAGACTTTTGGATAGCAGCCATCCTGACTGGCGTGTAATGGTACCTCATTATGGTTTTGATTTGCATTTCTCTGATAATGAGTGATGTTGAGCATCTTTTCATGTGTTTGTTAGCCATCTGTATGTCTTCCTTGGAGAAATGTCTGTTCAGTTCTTTGGCCCATTTTTTGATTGGGTCATTTATTTTTCTGGAGTTGAGCTGGAGGAGTTGCTTGTATATTTTTGAGATTAATCCTTTGTCTGTTGCTTCGTTTGCTATTATTTTCTCCCAATCTGAGGGCTGTCTTTTCACCTTGCTTATAGTTTCCTTTGTTGTACAGCCTGTTTCTTATACTTTGTAATAACAGAGGTCATTTTAAAGAGAAGGGATAGGCTGCCCACTCCAGTATTCCTGGGCTTCCCTGGTGGCTCAGATGGTAAAGAATCCACCTACAGTGCAGGAGACGTGGGTTCGATTCCTGGGTTGGGAAGATCCCCTGGAGAAGGGAAAGGCTACCCACTCCAGTATTCTGGCCTGGAGAATTCCATGTACAGAGGAGCCTAGCAGGCCACAGTCCATGGGGTTGCAAAGAGTGGGACACGACTGAGCGACTTTTACTTTCAGGAATTGTGAACCTGGGCCCTTTTACAGATAATGTTTGTGTTGGTAAGGGCAATCTGTTAGAACATGTAGGCTGAAATGACTAATTAGTTAACTCCTGCCTAAATCTGCTACTTATGGCTTAGGTCATAATCTTATATACTTAAATTGCACAGCTAAGTGGGGACAACAGAGTCACTGGTGGCCCTGATGTTATGGAGATATGCCGCATACCTGTACGAGTGCTAAGTCACTTTAGTCGTGTCCAACTCTGCGACGCTATGGACTGTAGCCCACCAGGCTCCTCTGTCCATGGGATTCTCCAGGCAAGAATACTGCAGCGAGTTGCCATTTCCTTCTCCAGGGGATCTTCCCGACCCAGGGATGGAACCCAAGTCTCTTGCATCTCCTTCATTGGCAGGCAGGTTCTTTACCACTAGCGCCACTTAGGATGTTGCATGCAGGACAGTGTAACTCTCAAATCAAATTTCCTCAGCACTCACTTTGTATCCAACTCAAAAAAGAAAATGTTTTTTTATAAGGCATTGCTGTCTTTGGATCTCTACTAGGTCAACTTGATGGAGAAGGAAATGGCAACCCACTCCAGTGTTCTTGCCTGGAGAATCCCAGGGATGGGCGAGACTGGTGGGCTGCTGTCTGTGGGGTCGCACAGAGTTGGACATGACTGAAGCGACTTAGCAGCAGCAGCAGGCCAACTGGAAAGAAAATAAAATATTCACGATGCTTTGAGAACCCCAGAAAAAAAAAATATTAAAATGGCATTGGACAAAGAAATGATAAAACTTGACTATGTCTTCAAGTATCTTAACCATGACAGCTATTTGAGAGTCAGCCCTACTTGACACCTACTTTTTTGAAATACTAAAATTTAAAAATCACCTAAATTCATTACTTATTTTTCCCCAGATATTATGTTGAGTTAGAGGCAAGGCATCTTGGTTCAAATCCTAACCCTGCCACTTACAAGTTTTGTGGTTATTTTCAGCTCGTCACTGGTTCTTCCTGAGCCTTAGTTTCCTCACTGGCAGTGTGGGTATGATAATACCTGCTTTCGGGGATTGTCAGCGGTGCCATCCCGAGCACCTGACACATAGTACTTGCCAAGAGATGTTAGCCAGCCGTGGCTACTGCGATTCTGAAGTGACCGCTTCACTCCCTTTATGGAGCCCTTGCTCTCCCTTGTTGTCTCTCTGTGAAGCCCACCACTCCAGACTTCTCAAGCGCGGAGTATTTGAGATGCTACAGCATTTATTTGTCCTACTACTGCATTGCTGTTGTATCTCTGTACTTTCTCTAAGGGGGCTTCCCTGGTGACTCAGATGGTTAAAAAAAAAAAATCTGCCTGCAATGCAGGAGACCTGGTTTGATCCCTCGGTTGGGAAGGCTCCCTGGAGAAGGGAATGGCAACCCACTCTAGTATTCTTACCTGGAGAATCCCCATGGACAGAGGAGCCTGGCTGGCTACAGTCCATGGGGTGGCTAAGAGTTAGATATGACTGAGCAATGTGAGATCGTAGGACCTGAGTGTATCAACTGGGGCTGAATGTTAAGTCACCTGGGGAGCTTTAACAAAATACAGGTGCCTGGTGCTGTCACAGTCACACGTACTCAGAAACTCTGAGGGTGAACCTGGGGCATTGATATTATTTTAAGGCTCCTAGGAGATTGAGAAGATCCCCTGGAGAAGGGAAAGGCTACCCACTCCAGTATTCTGGCCTAGAGAATTCCATGGACTATAGTCCATGGGGTCGCAAAGAGTCGGACCCAACTGAGCAACTTTCACTTTCAGGAGATTGAGACCAATCCTCAGAGGCACTCAGGGTTGAGGGATTGTTCATCCTCTATCTTTAGTAAATTGGTACGATCTCTGACACATGGGAAAAGACCCTGATGATGGGAAAGATTGAGAGGAGGAGAAGAAGGGGGTGACAGAGGACAAGATAGTTGGTGATTACATCACTGAAGTGATGGACATGACTTTGAGCAAGCTCTCATTCTCATCAGGGAAGCCTGATGTGCTGCAGTCCATGGGCTTGCAGAGTCAGACATGACTTAGTGACTGAACATCTGTAGCAACTGATACCTTTTAGCTGCTCAATTAATGTTTGTGAAATTGGAGATATTAATAATTTGGTGTATTTCTAAAGTTTATATAAACCCACCCCATAGAGTTAGGCTTGAGCCTTTATTAAGAATGCCTTTGGTTACTGAAATAACCTTCTGAGAGTATTCAAGGCGACATTCTGCTGATTTCTGACAGAGTAAATATCTATCTCCCCTGTTGGCTTAGATTCCATTTCTCGATGTCTTATTTGAAATGGCCCTAAGGCAGATCTGTACCCTTTCATTGAACACTGGCAAGTCACCGTTGTCTCTACACTTGTATAACTGCGCTGGTTTAATTGTTTATCATTCCCCTGATGCTGAACCGCCTGCGTGTATCACCGAAGCAAAGGAAGTCACATTTAATATTGCAGCTGTTCTTGTCAGCTTTTGCAACTTAAAAATGTAAATCCATGGTTCTTATCCTGATGTATAAGAAATGGGATAGTGAATAAAAGAGTGAAAACCGAAAAACAGTTATAGA